TTGACATGTTTCTGCAATTTTTTTTCCTCCTAAGAACGAATTAGAAATTTTATTTTACACTTTCTTAACTATAAAGTATTATTACTCTTCAAAATTTTATTTATTTTTATTTTATGTGTATGAGTGTTTGTCCGCATGTATGTAATTGTACTATGTGTGTGCAATACCCATGGATGCCAGAAGAGGGCATCAGATCCCCTGGAACTAGAATTATAGACAGTTGTCAACTACCATGCGGGTGCTGGGAACCAAACCCAGGTCCTTTGTAAAAGTAGTCAGTGCTATTAACTGCTGAACCATCTCTCCACTCGTTCCGCCCCCATTAAAAATGTTTGTTTTGTTTTTATTTTATGTATATGAGTATTTTACCTGCATGTGTATAAGAGCACCGTGTGTGTGTATTTTACCTGCATGTGTATAAGAGCACTGTGTGTGTGCCTGGTACCCACTGAGCCCAGAAGAGGGTGTTGGATCCTCAGGACCTCGAGTTAAAGATTAGCTGCCATGTGGGTGCTGGGAACTGAACTTTGGGTCCTTTGTAAGAGCAGTGCTCTTAACCCCTGAGCCATCTCTCCGGTGAAGTCCAACCTCTTGATGACATTTTATAAGAAAGCAGATCTTACCAGTGGGGCATTGTTCTAGTTTGCTTTCATATTGCTATGATGAAAACACTGTCAAAACCAACTCGGGAGAGGAAAGGGTTTATTTTGCCTACAACACAGTTCATTGTTAAGGGACACCAAGGCAGGGATTCAGGGCAGGAACCTGGAGCACAGCCCATGGAGGAATGCTGCTTGTTGGCTTGCTCCTTTGGTCTGTGCTCAGCCTGCTGTCTTACACAATACTGGACCACCTGCCTAGAGGTGGTGCCACCGATAATGGGCTGGGCCCTCCTGGGCCCTCCCACATCACTCAACAATCAAGACATGGCCACAGGTCAGTCCAATGGAGGCAGTTTCTCAACTGAGGTTCCCTCTACCCAGGTGTGTCAAGTTGACAAAGCTGTCCAGAACAGGCACATAATTTAGATTGCTTTTCTTGATCTTAAAATAATCTTTCATTGTGTAAGTCATTGAGATACATGTAATTTTTTTCTAAAATTAAAAATTATTTTTATTTATTTATTTATTTATTTTGAATATGTGTGGTGCAAACATTCTACCATGTATGTATGGAGGCCAGAAACCAATTTGTGGGAGTGGACTCTCTCCTTCCACCACATGGTCCCAGGGATCCAGCTAAGGTTGCCAGCCTTGGTGGCAAGCACCTTTACCCACTGAAGCATCTTGTTATCCTTTTTCTGAGTATTTTTGGTCTGGGATTGGTATAATCCTCAGGTGTGGAACTTGGGGACATGGAAAGCCCAATGTAAAAAAATGTCTGTGTAAATATGAACCATCTTATGAATAAATACATGTAGCAGAGAAGTATACCGTTGATTTGATAAATGTCTCCTGAGAGGAGTAAATGGAGGTTAAATAAATGCCAGTCTGAATACAGCACCCTTGGAAATGGTGACGTGTAGTATCTTGCTCTATCTCTGTGAATTTGAAGATGGGAGATGGAATGATGAAGAGTGGTGAGTACTGAGATCCCAGTTTGGGCCTCTGCCTCCTGTTGCTGACTGTTGTGATGGCCACTCAGTCCCTCTGCCTCCTCATCTACCAAGCCCCAGGACAAGGAACAAATGGTATAAGGATGTTCTGTAGTTGGAAAACACTGTCTCCATGCTTACGCAGTTTATAAAGGTAGATGCTCCATCTTGCTGGCCCCAAGTCAGCAGCTGTGGGCCAGACACAGTCAAGGAAGCCAGTGCTGCCTTGGCACACCCTGGCTTGCCTGTAGTGTTTGATTTGATCCAGAAATGATCTCTATTGTTTCACTTTCAAAGGCCCCCTGACAAGAGACCTCTGGTTTTACGATATGTGTTGCTTGTATGATGAGACTCTGTGGAACAGATGGACGGACCTCATAATGAGCCCTCCTTCACATCTCCAGTGTAGAGTGAATAAAATGCACAGAGGATAGAGAGGGAAGGTGGATATTGTGAGTGGTGGTCTTGTTCTTTAGAGAAGTCACTGTGGAGAGATGGGGAGATGGATCACACACCTGATTAGGAGACCCTTATATGCCTGTGATATTGTGAAAGTTTATGTCACTGTAGGATTCTAGGACAGCTAAGATGAAAAATAATCCACCAGAAGACAACTTCCATTAAAGTCTTAGCATAAGCTTAGCTAAACTAGCTCCTTGGAATATTTTCCTACTCTATTTGCCATTAGACTGCACTGGCCTTCAGAGACCTGACATTACATAAATATTTGGACCAAGTCAAAGCTCTGAATTGGGCCTTTCAAAGAAGATCCTTAATTAAAAGCAGAAAGCAGAGGGATGAAAATTGAATCTTTGGAAGAGCTCAGCAAATCTATTGAAGATACATTAGCCATGTTCTGGTCTCTGGTTTCATGAAGTGTTGGTATCTTGGGGGCAAACACCCAAGTATTCTTTATGTCTGTAGACTTTCTCCTGGGGTGGATGGCAGATGCTGTTAAGGCCTGTGGGGTATTTTATGACGTTTGGTGCATGTATCTCTTTCAGATCAGGAATCTTTTCTCTTTCTGACAAGTCTTTGCTTGCCATAGCATAAGGGGGGGGAGAAGTTCCTTTCCGACCCTCTGCATTCTTTAATGGTATAGAAATACCATGTACTCATTTAAGTAGATTAGAAAAGCATACCCTCCTTTACCCTTTCTATTTCTCTCTTCTCTTGAATTAATTGCCAAATCTTGTCAATTCTGCTTTATAAACTCCCGAACTTGACACTTTCTCTTTTTCAGCACTTCAATGAATCTGGAGACCTTGCTTCTTCTGTGGTGCTGTGCGGCCCTCTCTTCTTCAGCTCAGTCTTCTCACCTTGACCAAGCTTTCTCCCTGACCCCAGCCTTTCCCCCTTGACCCCAGCCCTCTCCCAGGAGGTCTTCCATTATGTTCACTATGAAATTGATAGTTTTAAAATGAGTTTCAACTGCATGGGTATTCAGTGCGTGGTAGTCTTGCTGACAGAATAGAATCTAGTACTTAGACTGATGAAGCAGCCATTTCCCCTGCCTACTCCTGATGCCCTCTGCTGGGAGCTCCCTTTCATCTTCTGTTTAGTCAGCTGTGCACGAGCCTTCACCATTCAAGTTGTGTGTAACCTGTGCTGTGAAGTTTGTCTAACCGGGAGACTCTTTTCTCAATAATCCTTCCCATGGCATTGCACTTTGCACACTGAATTACTGGATTATAAAAAGGGAGAAATCAGCCAGGCGTGGTGGTGCACGCCTTTAATCCCAACACTGGGGAGGCAGAGGCAGGCAGATCTCTGTGAGTTGGGGCCAGCCTGGTGTAAGTAGTGCATTCCAGGCCATCTGTGGCTACAGAGAGACCTTGTCTGAAAAAAGACCCCCCCCCAAAAGGGGGGTGAAATCAGTAGAGGGAGTGTATGCAGTGGGGGGGAATGTGGGCTTTAGAGTTAAGTCAACCTAGGTTTAAGATCTTGGCTCTATGGATTGAAGAGACGGTTCAGCAATTAAGAGCACTGGTTGCTCTTTTAGAGGACCTAGGTTCGATTCCCAGCACACACATTGTGGCTAACAATCATTTGTAACTCCAGTTCCAGGGGAATCCAACATCCTCTTCTGACATCCACCGGCATTTCAGGACAGGGATGCACTTATATGCATGCAGGCAATACATCAAGACACACAAAATTAGAGAGAGAGAGAGAGAGAGAGAGAGAGAGAGAGAGAGAGAGAGGGTGGCTCTAATCTTCACCTAGTGTGTAATCTTGGAGTCAACCCTCTGGGCAGTCATTTTCCCACATGCTTCGATTTTCATGTTGGAAGGATTAAATGACACAGTATGAACAAAGCCTCTAGTAGTGCTTGGTGGGAACTTGGTACATGATAATCTCCTATCCTTTTATTTGTGCCATCTGTTCTTATGAAGCACCATTGTATGGGATTATGATCAAAACCTATATTTTTCTCTTTGAGAAACGGATCTGGTACATCCTGGCTAGTGTCAGAACTAAAATCAGGCCATGAGCTCAGCCAGTGTGGACTGTCTATGGAGAGAAAATCCCCAGTTGGAACTATGTGGGAGGCTGTGAGGGGTGGGCAGGGGTGGGAGAAGAGCACATTTGTGTCAGGAAACTGATAGTGCAATTAACTGGAAAGGTTTTCCTAAGCCAGTTTCTTTCCATGTACATGTTCCTGAAACCCCATCCTGTGAAGGGTAATGATATCTGCAAGATGTACGGTACTTAATGATAGGGAGATAATTATATCCTCTTGGTGTCCATATCCAAACCTTAGGAAATGGGGCTTTCTTAAAAGAGCACAACACTGGAGGATAAAGGGAAACCGCGGTCTTTGTAAGAGCTGAGCTGAGCCTTCCATGGGTCAGATGTGAAGAGGAGGGGACTTCCTCTGTGTATGCATGACCAAACTTGGGATAGAGAGGAACCGGCTATGAGCCTGACAGCAGCTGGCTTGTCACATCAGAACTGAGCATCTCAGACACAGAGAACATGAGCGTTGAGACTAGAGAGATACTTATATTGTGTAAATGATCCAACGTGCACTGCTTTTTGTTGCTGTTGTTATTTGTGTGTGTGTGTGTGTGTGTGTGTGTGTGTGTGTGTGTGTGTGTGTTAGGGCAGAAGGTGACATCTGACTGCTTAATAGAGAACTAGGAACTAGGGTTCTTAAAATTCTATTGGAGGCTTTCCTCTTTCTTAAAATCTACATGTATAAGCCCTAGTTTTTTTGAAAAAGAAAACAGAAATGTCCTTTGCTTTGATTTTCTTCTTGTCAAAATGTGTAATAGTATATTCATTTTTGTTGTACCTCCTGTTTGCTTCTAATGCGGTCTGTCATTCTGGAAAGGGTAGATTAAAAATAAGCCTGGCAAGGCAGGACAGGACACAGGCTAACACCATCTTGTGCTCCTTCCAGGTGCAGTGTCGTCTTCTGCGTCTCCCTTCCTGGCCAGCACTCTGCCTCCTGTATCCATCATGGTGTTTGGTGAGTTTTTCCATCGCCCTGGACAAGACGAGGAACTTGTCAACTTGAACGTGGGGGGCTTTAAGCAGTCTGTTGACCAGAGCACGCTCCTGCGGTTCCCTCACACGAGACTGGGGAAGCTGCTTACCTGCCACTCCGAAGAGGCCATTCTGGAGCTGTGCGATGACTACAGCGTGGCTGATAACGAGTACTATTTTGACCGGAACCCATCCCTGTTCAGATATGTCCTGAACTTTTATTACACGGGGAAGCTGCACGTCATGGAGGAGTTGTGTGTCTTCTCCTTCTGCCAGGAGATTGAGTACTGGGGCATCAATGAACTCTTCATCGACTCCTGCTGCAGCACTCGCTACCAGGAGCGCAAGGAGGAGAGCCACGAGAAAGACTGGGACCAGAAGAGCGATGACGCGAGTACCGACTCCTCCTTCGAAGAGTCGTCTCTGTTTGAGAAAGAATTGGAGAAGTTTGACGAGCTCAGGTTTGGTCAGCTCCGGAAGAAAATCTGGATTCGAATGGAAAACCCAGCATACTGCCTGTCTGCCAAGCTCATTGCCATTTCTTCCTTGAGCGTGGTGCTGGCCTCCATCGTGGCAATGTGTGTGCATAGCATGTCGGAGTTCCAGAACGAGGATGGAGAGGTGAATGACCCTGTGCTGGAAGGTGTGGAGATCGCTTGCATTGCTTGGTTCACTGGAGAGCTGGCCATCCGACTGGTTGCTGCTCCCTGCCAAAAGAAGTTCTGGAAGAATCCTCTGAACATTATTGACTTTGTCTCAATCATTCCCTTCTATGCCACACTGGCAGTGGATACCAAGGAAGAAGAGAGTGAGGACATCGAGAATATGGGCAAGGTCGTCCAGATTCTTCGGCTCATGAGGATTTTCCGAATTCTGAAGCTTGCCCGGCACTCTGTAGGGCTCCGGTCTCTGGGGGCCACGCTTAGGCACAGCTACCATGAAGTGGGGCTGCTGCTTCTCTTCCTTTCTGTGGGCATTTCCATCTTCTCTGTGCTCATCTACTCAGTGGAGAAGGATGACCTCACGTCCAGCCTCACCAGCATCCCCATCTGCTGGTGGTGGGCCACTATCAGCATGACCACTGTGGGCTATGGAGACACCCACCCTGTCACCTTGGCTGGGAAGGTCATTGCGAGCACTTGCATCATCTGTGGCATCCTGGTGGTGGCCCTTCCCATCACCATCATCTTCAACAAGTTTTCCAAGTACTACCAGAAGCAGAAGGCCATGGATGTGGACCAGTGCAGTGAGGACCCACCGGAGAAGTGTCACAAGCTACCTTACTTTAATGTTAGGGACGTTTACGCACAGCGGGTGCACGCCTTCATTACCAGTCTATCTTCCGTTGGCATTGTGGTCAGTGATCCTAACTCTACAGATGCTTCCAGCATTGAAGACAACGAGGATGTTTACAACACTGCATCCTTAGAAAACTGTACCACAAAATGAGCAGGGGCATTTGTACCTGTATCTTGTGTCCCTTCTTGACATTAGGTTAACACAGCTTTATAAACCTCAATGGGTTCGTTCAAATAAATCATTTAATTCTCAGGGTGTACCTTTTAGCCATAGTTGGACATTCATTGCTGAATTCTGAAAAGATAGAATTATCTTTATTTTTCTCAGTGAGGTTAAATGCCTTGTTCTGAAATTTATTTTTTAAAGAGAGAGTTGTGATATGGTTTTGGGGGAAAAAAGTAAATGATATTGGGAGGGATTTGTTGCTACGGCTTATGAATCATTCTGTATTTGCCATTTACTCACATTGAGCTAACTATAAATTACTGATGACAGAGCAGAGGCCCAGCTGACTGAAGATGACATGCATGTGAGATCTACAACATGGGACAACGCATGTAAATCCATGTTCATGTTCGAGACATGGAAATTAGGAGCCCAATAAACTTTTAATTCATTATGGAGGATGTCTTGGTTGTATGTTTTTGTGTAGAAAGTCTATCTCATTATGCTCACAATTGGCTTGGAAGGGAAATGCTCCTTTTGGCATAGCAAGAGTTTTTCCCCTTTGGGGGCTGGAGTGATAACCCAGTTGATAAAGTGCTTCAAAGGGACCTGAGTTCAATCCTCAGGACTCATATTAATAATAATAAAGCTAGGCATGGTGATACTTGCTTGTCATCACAGGGCAGGGAAGCTGGGGAGAAGACAGGAGGCCAAGTCTACCTGGTGAGTTTCAGGTCAATGAAAGATCCTGTCTCAGAAACGGTGGATAATCTCAGGAATGACACCCAAGCTGTCTTGTGACCTGTAAACATAATGTACACACACCTGCATAGACATGTGCTTTTATATACATGAAACATACACACACAAAAAATTTCTTCCTTGTTTTTAAATTTCCAATATGTACTAGATTTGTTTTTTGGTTTGGTGTACTTGTGGTTGGCTGGTAGAAGAACATACTACCGATGAACCTATTCTGCCCCATGTAAACTGACTAAATATGGAGGTGTTTGAGATATATGAATGAAGGCTACACCTTTCCAGGTATATTTCCAGTATGTTTGAATCTTAAAATAATTTCTACTTCCAGGATAAAACTCGAAAATTGCACAGAGCTGAGTAAGCCCACCCACTTGCAGACAGAGACCCACTCAGTGTGTGGAGGAAAGGGAAAAAGCACAAATACACAGATGTGGCTCATTATGCAGAGGAGTGAAAGCTAAATCTCTAAAAAGGGTATACCAACAGCTATGAAGCAAGCTAGCATTTTCAAATAGCCATAGACACAGCAATGGCTGCATCTTATACAGAAACCCCTCACTAAGGGAAGAAACATACATAATCACAGCCAGAGCAAACAGTGCATTTCCATCCCATGTGGAGGGAACGTTGCCGCAGACTCCATTTGGGGGATGTAGGATGCTAACTGGTACCGCCAGGCTGCCTCCTAGCTCTTTCCTGAGTGCTTTAGAATGGAGGAACCATGTGGCTTTATTATCCAGCTTTTTATATGTGGAGATGCATTCACTGAAGCCTGATGTAGGTTGTCCCTACCTGTAGGACTCCTCCTTCCTCTGTGTCAGTGACTTCCCAGAAAATGGACACAATAAATCAGTTTGCTTCTAAACCTGATGTTTATCACATGCATCATCAAAATTCTGCTCATTTGGGAAAATTTCTCTTTTCTAACCGGAACGTCTTTTTATGTTGGCAATAAATGTGTTTTACAGTTTAACAACAGAATTTGAGATACTCTTAGTCAAGATTTCCTAACTAAGTGAGATAACTGAAGACTGCTTATATAGTAGTATTAACAGCAGCAGAAATAATAATAAGCCACCTATATAGGTGTTTTGCTGATGGAATTTTATTTACTCCTTGCAAGTTTCCTAGCGGCAAGTTTATTGCTGCCTTCATTTGAAGCTGAGGTTGATGGGAAGAGTGGCTTGGTGAGTTCACACAGTGAGTAATGGAGCTGGGCTTGGAACTCAGGGACCCAGACTCCAAAGCTGGTCTCTGAACTGCCAGGAGAAACATCATAACAGGTGCCTCTGAAGAGATGTGAACAGCGGCAAACAGTTTGATTTTCCCATTGTGTGAGTCACAGGGGCATCCTGGTTTATGTACTTTTCCTTTCCCAATTCAGAAACCTGACTTACTTATTTACTGAATTTTTTAGAGTAACCGTGAAGCTGGAACATTCTCTGAGGGTCCCCACCTTGAAGACACTGAGGGGCAGACATGATAAGAAAAGTGAATCTCCAGGAATTCTGGAATTTCTCTCAGATGAGGGGAGCAGAAGGGGAGCGTTCTGAGTTAGCATGGCAGGAATTGCTTCTGTCTGTGCTCATGGGAAGTCTTGGAGGGGCTTGTTCAGTGGCCTGAGTGTCTGCTGCGGCTTCCCTCTGGTTTTGGCTACTGCCGTCTCTCCCCATCCCCTTTGCACCCCAGTCCCTGCTGCTGTACCTTCAGTTAAAATCTGCCACAGGTGACAAGGCTCTGGTGACATAAATGTCCTTCTGGCTTTCCCACACTCCACGCATATCCCTCTCATTCATTTCCATGTGGAGACACACAGGCCTCTTCAGTCAGTCCAGAAGGGTGGAATTGCTGGCTAAGTGCCCACTTCACAAGATGTTGGTGAGGGCTGGCAGCACAAGCTGGCAGGAAAGAAAGTCAGACAATCCAGTGTAATAGCCAGCAATGCCTATTTTTGTGTTGATTGTTCTGGGGTTCATTTGAGCTAGATCACTTCAGGGAGTTTTATTTTAATTTGCTCAAATTCCTTGTTCTTAGCCTGTGACTGCTTTCTCCTTCTGCTTCCTTAGACTTGTTTTGTCATCACCAGCAGTGTAAGGTGATTTGGACGGTCATGAGCTCTGCTTAGGACATCTCCTTTCCAGTCCTTTACCCTGGGGACAGAAAGAGAAAAAGGGACAGGAGGAGGGGGAGGGGAGAGAGAGAGAGAGAGAGAGAGAGAGAGAGAGAGAGAGAGAGAGAGAGAGAGAGAGAGAGAGAGAGAGAGAGAGAAGGAGAGGGAGGGGAGAAGGCTTCCTGAATTAGGTGACACTGGATCTGTTTGGGGTCTCTGTTCTGAGCCTGATTGAGTTCAACAGTGATAAAATGGTCATTGATACTGGATGAGCATCTGTGTCCCTGCATTCTGTACCTCCCAGCCACATACACTGCTTGCTAACCATGACTCTTTCTCACCTTCAGTGGAAGTATCTTTCACCTTTAATGTCCTGATCCTCCTGTCCTTTTTTGTCTTGTGGAGGTATGCAGAGTTTATGATTTTTGCTGACCTTCCTGTTTTTGTTTGGTCGGAAATACTTCGTCTTTCATATGCTTTTGTACACGCCCAGCTCCTTGTCCTGTTTTAATTTCATTTTGAACTCAGAGTTTGATGAAGGGGCACTTGCTCTTATCCCCATCTGGAAGGTCACAGGGAGCTTTTGTGCTTAGAGATCTCTGTTGTATTTTATGGGGTTGATTCGACTTACTGGCAAGAAGCTTTTACAAATGTTCAGAAAAGAGTGGTTTGTACCATATGGAATTGTCAATATCATTTTTGATCCAGGATAACAGTTTCAATATGGTTCAATTTAGTGTTTTGAGCTTGCCTCCTGTTAGAAAAAAAAAAAAAAGTAGTACTTAGGCTTTTAGACAAAATTGTGATACCTTAGGGAGAGTGGGTTTGGGGAGCTGGGGCTTCCCGTTATCCCGATGGGGCACAGCTGTATGATCAGGTCCTCTGCATTCTGAACTTGTGTTCTCAATACTGGAGGGAATGGAGCAGTTTCTGGGATCTTTCTGTCTCTCACACTTAGGTAATTTATGCTGTTTCCAAACTGGCTAGTTCACTTCTAAATTTGTTTACATTATAAATTTGCATAATAAACAAGTTTTGGTGCTGGAAAGATGGCTCTGCTGAGGACCTGAGCTCAGTTCCCAGCATCCATGTAGGGTGTACGGTGGCTCACAACCACCTGTAACTCCAGCTGCAGTACATCTGACACCTTTGGCCTACACACACAGACACAGACACAGTCTCTCTCTCTCTCTCTCTCTCTCTCTCTCTCTCTTCTCTCTCTCTTTCATCTCTCTCGCTCTCTTGTTCGCTCATTCTCTTAAGAATTTAAAGAAGAAAGAAAAATAAAGCAGTTTTGGTATCTAATTTTTCTTATGTTCTCTACCAGAGGAGTTCTAGCCAATGAGGTCTGACATCCTATTGTTGGGGCCTGGGAGGTGGTTAACTTCAAAGCTTAAATTGACAAATGCATTTATAACCGGTTGTTTACCTCCCTGTGTCTGGGTGGCCAGATTGAGGGTCCCCTGTAGTTCTGGCAGCCAGGTTGGGTGAAAGGTCTTTTGAGCATCCCTGGGTATGTGGTTTTGATTTGCTTTCAAGTCACCGGTGGCTTAACCTTGGTCATTCCCAGCATCTGTTACTTTGTCTTTCCCAGGAAGGCACACAGGTGGGGAGGGGTGAACTGAGAGGAAAAAGGCAAGGAACTCTTAAATGGTTATGTACTGCTTAGAGTCATGGAAAATGACAACTTGGGATAGCTTAGAAGACCCTCCAGAGGTCATCTGACTCATTCTCTGTTTTACAGTGACGAAGAGGTGTGAATTGACCAAAACCATATATAAAGACCAAAATAGACACTAGGACATAATTACAGCTTTGGCTCCCTCCCCACCCCCTCTTCTGCTTTTGAAAACGTGTGTATGTGTGTGTGTGTACATGTGTGCATGCACATACTTGTAGTAACTCAAGCATCTTTCTTGGTCACTCTTCACTTTATTTATTGAGGCAGAGTCCCTTCTAAACCCAGAACTTGCCCATCCTGGTTAGTCCAGATAACCAGCTTTCTCCAAGGACCCCTATTTCTGCTTCTTGACTGTTAGGATTATAGGCAGCCGCTAGGCCTGCCTGCTCTGCTTTTACCTGGGTTCTAGGGATCTGAATTCTAGTCCTCATGCTGTGACAAGTGCTTTGTCCACTAAGCCATTTCCCTAGCCCTCCTTATTATAAAAATTTCATGTATTCCAAAGTTATCAAGATTGGGGAGATGTCTCAGTGGTTAAGAGCACTGACTGCTCTTGCAGAGGACCTAGGTTCTGTTCCCAGCACCCACATGGTGGCTACCAGCAGTCCATAACTCCAGATCCAGGGGATCTGATGACCTCCTATGGCCTCCATAAGCACTGCATATGGTGCACTTATGTACATACACACAAAACACCCATACACATATAATTTTAAATAAGGACTTGTATCACATACCCTCATATGTCCATTATCAAATTATGAAATTAAATCTAAAAATAAGAAGCATAAATAATATTGTAGAAACTTTAAAAAAGAATTATAGGAATTTTTATAAAAAATATGAGATGAGATAGATTAAAAAATGGGGAATCACGCTCAACCTGGAGTCAGAATATCTTTTGT